ATCAAACACTAGTCTAGGCTTGGCTGGAAACACACGTCGGTAACTGCGACTTATCCCCGGTACATATTGCGCTCCACTGCATGTAAAGCGTGATCATTCTGGGCCGAGCTTACACTCGCAGCAGCAGTTGTAGTGTGTAGGTCCTGACGAATGCAACAACAACCGCCTGAAAACATACTCATATCATAGGCAACACAATTATATACTCAAAAATCAGAGTTTAAATATCGGAACAACACGTGTTGCAGAGTGGTCAAATGCGTCGGGTTCAAGTTCCGGTCCTTCGGGTTCGTGGGTTCGACTCCCACCGCGTGTACTTCTTTTCATTTTTTCTTTTGTCTCCCGATGTCTTCGGCATTCGTTATGAGGAAGGAATAATAAATAAATGCCGTTCAATTTTTGAGAAAACCTCGTTCACGACGGAGCACTGACTTTCATGGTAAAACTCAATGTGTTTATGTTTTTTGTTTATTTTGTCAGTATGACCCTACGCTTCTATCGAAGCAAAGGGTCTCAGATAGAGTAGCAATCAATGAATCCATGCAATAATAGCGTTGTTGGCGAAAGTGCTGCTTTTTTTTTTCCACGATTCCCCGAGCAGCACACCACTTTAACAACACGATGATGAAACGGAACCCTCCTAATGGACATACTTCACACTAGAACGCATACCATCTATGCATCATGCATGAGCATCCATACATACAGACTGGGCTCTTTGCTGCTTATATTGTTGTTGTTGTCTCCACATTAAAACCGTTCCGATTCTCTACCCAGTAGTACCTTCGTATGTCCGCACTGATCCAACACTCGACGCGGTCGATTCCCGTAGTCATAGGGTTAATTTACCCTAAAAAGGTTTCCATTCCGCCTATACAGATGTTTTTTTCCTAGCTCCAACTGGCATTTCTGATAACTCAGTGTTAGGCTTACACAAACTCAAAATAAGCCCAAGTCTCCAGTTGGTTTCAATCCACTTACTGAAGAGACTTCTGAATCACTACATCCCTTTCGACTGAGGTTATATCTCGAACGGGTAGCCTTTCTGTGAGGTTATGTTTACTTTCTAGAAAATAAACTGGCCCCGAGGGGTCCGCAAGTCAATAGAAATCAACGACAGATATTCTAGAAGTGGGGGGTTGTTGCAATGGTGCAGCGTTGGGAGGGGGGGAATTGGCTAAAAGAAACTCAATCCGGCACGTGTCGCGCCACTCGGTCCGTCTCTTCTCGTTTGCTTTTTTCCCTCGCCGCCTCGTCCGTCTCCTGCCCCCCTCCCGCCCCATTGGTTGGTGGCTTGTGGTTTCGTTTGAGCG